TGTTTGTAATATTGATTTTAAATGTGACTAATTTTGCAAATTGATATTCATTATTTTTTTTTATTTTCTATTTAAAAACTTTATAAGGGTGAAACACTTAAGAGTAAAAAAGAAGGAAATATATGCTTTAGAGGGTTTAATCACGCCCCTCGTATGATTGATTTATTTATAGTGATAAAGTATGGATACAATGAGTAGATGAAAAGTCAAGGGACTAATACTAATCTAGAAATCATAGGTTAATAATTCTAACACTTCCCCTCAACCTGGAGCATACAAATTATATGTACCAAACTTGAAAACAAATGAACTCAATCTGAGGACCCCTTAATGATTTTGTTAACATATATGCAAATAGATCATTAGATCCAATAAACTCCATACAAATTTCCTTAATCACCAACTTTTTTTGAACGAAATGGCAGTCAATCTCAATGTGTTTTGTTCTTTCATAAAATATTGGATTAGAGGCAATGTGAAGTGCAACTTGATTATCACAATACATTTTCATGATCTGAATCTCACAGAATTTGAGCTCTTAAAGGAATTGTTGCACTCACATTAGTTCGTAAGTGAGCAATGTCATTGTCCTATATTCAACTTTGGCAGTTAATCGGACCACTACATTCAGTTTCTTTCTTTTCTAGGAAATACAATATCTGGTAGCAGAGTGTCTGTGAGAAGGGGATCCAACCTAATTAACATCACAATACGCAAATATTTGAGTGTTACATTTATCTTCATATTAAAAACCCTGTCCTGGAGTCTTTTTTAGATACCTTAAGTTACGGATAATGGCATTTCAATGGTCAATGCAAGGATCATGTATGAAATGGCTAACAATGTTAGAAATGTAGGCTGAGATCAAGAGAGGGGTGAATTGATCTTTGAAAGATTTATGCAATTAACAGATTATCTATTTCAAAGATTAAGAATTCTGACCAGTTCTTGAATCACACACAACAAGCAATCAAAATAAAGGCAGTGATGCAGAATTAAATGAGAGAAAGGCTTTAGAAAGATACAACCAAGATTTATACTTGGTTCACCCAATCCCGAGGCTACGTCCAGCTTTCAGCCAAATTCCACTGGGTTCCACTAGATTGAACGCTTTACTGATTACAACTTTAATCTCACACTCAATCTACCACAAGAACCAAAATTCTAGTTCCCTGCACCTAAACCTTCACCAAGAACCAAATTCCGTCCTTGAACAACCCCTGCAGCCAAATTCCAACGCTACGAAAACCAAGAGTGCCCACAATTCCAGGCACCCACGATACAAGATAAGAAAGTAAAGAAACAAATAGAAGAAACTAGAACGCTCAAACCGGATTTATCGCAGCTCTGCTAGTATGAGTTTCTTCTCCAAAAGAATGCAAATTTTTCCTCAAGAAAGAACTTCTATGAACTTCACAAAACTAGCGCGATTCTCTCTTGAAAGTAGCACTTATGATTGCTTGATTGATTAAGCTAAAAGATGTGTTTTAAAAAGTTCAAGCAACTCTGTTTATATAGAAGATTTTCAAAACTGTAGTTTATTTAATTCTGTTAAAATAATCTTTTAATCTGTTAAAAGTCTTGTTTTAATCGTAAAACTTCTTTTAATCTGTTAAAAAGTTCTTGATTATTTTCCAGATTTGTTTTAACTGATAATGACACCGCTTATATCAATTAAAACTCTTTGTAAAAAATCTTCCAAATCTGTTTTAATCGATTGTTTCGTCTTTCAATCGATTAAAATACTGCAAAACATTCTTATAAACTTTTCTAAGTGATTTTAACTGATAACAATCTGTTTTAATCGATTAAAACACTTTGAAAAAAAGTTCACTTAGTTATTTTAATCGATTGAAACACATTTTAATCGATTATAATTCTGCCAAAAGATTTCATAAAACTTTCTAAGTTATTTTAACCGATAGCAAGCTTGTTTTAATCGATTAAAACATTCTGGAAAAACCTCTTAGTTGTTTTAATCGATTATTTCGCATTTGTATCGATTAAAAATACCGACAAAACAACTTTCAAAACACTTCAAGTTATTTCAATCGATTATTTCGAGTTTGTATCGATTAAAATTCTGCTAGAACACTTTTCAAAATATTCTAAGTCATTTTAATCGATTATATCAATTCTATATCGCTTAAAATATCGCGATAAGGTTTTCAAAAATCCTTCTAATGAAAACAATCGATTATTTCGAAAACATATCGCTTAAAAACCTGTTACAAAAGTGTTAAGAACATTTTAGTTGATAAAGCTTATATGCTATTAGTTAAAATAGCTAATTAAAAAACCTTTTATCAAAATACTTTGTTTTTAACCGTTTAAACATTTTTTAGAGGCATTTGCAAAATCTTTTAAATGAAGAAACCTCATGCAGCAGAGAGATACAAATGATTATACCTAAGCAAAGATGCAGACTCACTAATCCCACTACCCTTTTATCTAAGTGACCTTTGACTGCCACAAAGTAGCCTTTGACTTCATCAAATCAACAAGATCTTTGCCAAGGTAATTCAATAAGATCTTCATCACTTTCAAACAACACCAATTGGGAAAGACAAATTAGGTATATAAATTGTAAGATAGATAAGTTTTCCAACTAGTCTTTTGTAACTTTTTGGATGAGAGAATGATTCACCTTGTTCTGTCATTAGTTCTTTATTTGGATATGTAGGAGTGTTTCTAGTCTACAATTAATCATACATGTCTCTCTTAAAATATCTAGTGCATAATTCATTTGAGATATCACAACGCCTTCTCTTGATTAAGCTACTTCAATTCCTGAGAAGTATTTAATCCTAAGGTCTTTGGTTGAAAATGATTTCACAAGTGTTCTTGTAGTTGAGATATTCTAGCAGCATCACTATACGTAATAACTATATCATCAACATACTCTTAAGTAAACACATTTATCAAGAGAAGTATGACAATGAAATACTAAATTATTTGGTTCACTTTGTTTCAGCTCAAAAGCTTGCACAATGTGGCTTAATTTCCTAAACCAAGCTCAGGGAGATTGTTTAAGATGATATAGGGAGCGACATAGCTTACAAACCAAGTCTGACTCCTCGTGAACAACAAATTCAGGAGGTTGCTCCATATAGATCTTCTCTTCAAGATCGTCATGAAAAAAAAGACATTTTTTATATCCAACTAATGAAGTAGTCAATGACGAATAACTACCATGACAAAGAATAAATTAATAATAGTCATTCTGGCCATTAGAGAAAAAGTATCGCTATAATCAAGGTCATGAATTAGAGTGTATCCTTTAACAACTAAGTGTGTCTTGAGATAACCAACTTCACCATTTTAGTTAACTTTAATAACATAAACCCAACGAAATCCCACTGTTTTCTTTCTAGGTGGAAGGGTACCAAGTCTCATGTGTGATTATGATCAAGAGCCTGTATTACAACAATAATGGCTTGGCATCATCAGAGGTGAGCTAAATTGATTTTTGATTTCATTCAAGAAGGATGTAAAGATAAGCAACAATTCTAAATGATATTTCATGAGATAAATCCACATACGTCTAGAATATTCATAAATGAAAGTAATAAAATATCTAAAACCAAAACATAAGACATGATTGAGCCCCAAAGTATTAGAATGAATAGAAAAAAATAGAATTACATCTAGACTCAGATTTCTTTAGAATAAATGATCTAACATGTTTGCCTAATTAACATGACTCACATTCCAATATTTGGAGACTACTAAGTTCAGGAACCAATTTTTTCAATTTTGAAATTTGGGATGATTCAAACAATCATGTAACAGTTGGAGTTTTGAGATGCAAAATAGAACACAAGTGGGCTAGCTCCAAATAGTATAAACATCTAGATTCATATCCTTCTCTAATCAGTCGTCTAGTACCATGTTCCTGTATAACAAAAGAATTGACATAAAAGATTATTGAATAATTTAAAAACTTGGTTAATTGGCTTAATGGAATAAGATTAAAAGGACAAGAAGGTATAAACAAAACAAATTTTAAATTTTAAAAAAGTGAAATGGAAACTTGACCCACTCCTTTGGAAGGAGCTTTAGAACCATTGGCTAAGGTAATGGAATGAGGATTCTTGGGAAAGGGAAGGGATGAGAACAAGGATGCATTACTAGAAATGTGATCAGAAGCACCTAGGTTTATTATCCATGAATTTTGACTTTCTACAGATTGTGAAATGCAAACTAATGATGGATTGAAACTTGATAATCATGCTAAGTTATTGGATTTCAACCTCAAATATTCTTGATACTCTTCATCAGAGAACTTGGGATCAACAACTTCAGCCTTAGAGATATTGACTGTCTTGTTGGAAAAATCATGAAGTGCAAAACAATTCTCTTGTACATTGATGGTGTCCCCAACCACCCCGTCCTCCTCTAGCATTACGTCCTCCTCTTCCACAAGCAGAGATCATAACATAAGATTCCATAGGTTCTTGGACATTCCTATTTTGAATTGAAGGAACCAGAAGAAGCCTAATTGTCAAGTTATCTATGGAGGGCACCTCTTCTCCAGTTAAAAGCTTATCTCTGACATGTTTAAAGTCATGATGTATGGCATGAAGAATAATTACCATATAAAACCTATCTAATTTGTTCTTTGTCTTTTCTAATGAATCATCCTCTAGGAACATCTTTACTCATGAAGGACATCATTTCATGATCTGATTGTTTAAGAGAAACAAGCCAATTTGCAGAATCGTAGAGGTGTTGGATATCTTTTACAAAATATTCTAAGTCTTTTTCCAAACAGAGTTACCTGTTTTAATTGCTCTAAGGGTACCTTGTAACTTTGGTCCTAGTGATTATCATAGTAAGGTACAAAGCTCTAAGTCAGTTTGCTTCCATTTTTGAGTTTTATCAAATGGTACAAAAGTCTCATCTTTTTCAAGGTGATTATGAACACCTTGGCCAAGAACCACATTTCAACTAAGGTAGACCAAGAGAGACAATTTTTCCCATTTAGTTTTTTGGATGTAATGGAAGGAGTCCTAGAGAAGGACACAAAGGGTCCAGAAGACATTTTGTTGGACATTACTGAGACTAAGAAGATTTTCAAATGGAGGAAAAACATTAGGAGTAGCTTAAATGGTTCCAACGAAGGTAAGACACGCGTAGAGACCTTCAATCTTGTTGGAATAGAGAACTCAAGGTCGGAAGAGGATCAGAGAAGTCCGAAGACACCCACAGATGGCGCGTGAACCACACGCACGTGAAAGAGAATCACGGTATCAAACCAATAGGGGTGGCCATCACTTGAGGAGACGGTCCAGATCCGATGGTCACTAGAGAATGTTGGACAGTGGTTGATGTGCGAACGATGATCGACATATACACGATGGTAGAAGAAGATGACAACAATGAAATTTTAACTAGAGGAGACCTGGTGTAAAATAAAGTAAGGTGCAAAATTTTAAGAAGATAAAGTGCAGAATTTTAAGCAATAAAGTAAGCAAACCCTAAGGAAAATTCCCACTGGACATTAAGATAGTTGCCTATCTAGATGTGAAAGTTCATTTCCAAGGATTATGGACGGAGGAAGAGATAGAATGAAACTAGAAAAGAATAAAGACAAGGGCTGGAAAAATGGACCAGCCCCATGGATAAATAAATTGAGTGAAGAAATAAAGAAGAAAAGAGGAAGAGAAGAGAATTACGGTGGTGGTGGAGTGTTGGCATGCCACTTAGGGATGAGCCACCCTAGATAAGTGGTGGTTGCCGCCACTTGAACCAATGTTCAAGATAAGACACTCAAAGAGATGAAACACTCTAAGAAACCTCACAAACTTGTCATAAAATGTTCAACCTAATTACATGAGGGGAAGCCTTCTATTTATAGGCTTTTGGGGGAGGGACCTAGATGGAATTATAAAAGGAGACATAAACTTAACCTAAACCTAAAGGCTAGAGTCCCCATGGTCCAAATATGTTAAATTCGTTCTAGCCCACCAAAAATACCTCTAAGGGTGTGGAGAACATGAAAAAAGAGGTGTGCTTCCTTTTAAGTTGTCCCAAGCCAACCAATCCCGCATCCTAAGCTTCTTCCTCTTCAAAAAGGGGTGTAGGACATGAAAAAGGAGTGTCCTACACCGTTGGGCTGCTCATGCATGTATCCTATGGATCCAAGGCTTCTTTTCCACCAAAAAAGGTGGTATTCTTCAAAAAGGAGGTGCAAAAAGTGAGCTTACAAAAGGAAAGCGAAAATAAGTGAAAAACATAGAAAAAGAAAATACTAAGTAAAAATACTAAGTAAATTCAAAATGGAAGGTGAAGAGGAGACCTCTCTTCTAGTCATGCTTCTAGTAATCCTCCTAGGGATGACCTCTCCCGCCTCCGGGGCAACTAGGGACTCATCATCCTCTCCTCCTTGGAGAGAATTCGTCCACGAATTTGCAAAACTTGCATCAAAAGGAGTAAGATCATCAACATTAAAAAAGTTACTAATGTTATATTCGGCTGGTAGATATAACTCATATGCATTGTTGTTTATTTTCCTAACTATTTGGAAAGGTCCGTCACCTCGGGGATTAAGTTTGAACTTCCTTTGAGTCGGGAACTGCTCCTTTATCAAGTGAAGCCATACCCAATCTCCAGGTTGGAAGATGACTTCCTTCCTTCCCTTATTGGCATGCTTGCTATACTGACCAACTTTCCTCTCGATGTTGGCTCTAATTTGGGCATGCAGGTCCTTAATGATCTTAGATTTTTCTAGACCATCTTGGCTATTCCAAGATTCATGGGTAGGTAGAGGAAGTGTTAGAAAAGTAGGCTGAGATCAAGAGGGGGGTGAATTGATCTTTAAAAGTTTTTCACAAATAACAGATTATCTAATTCAAAAATTAAAATCCAGATCTGTTCTTGAATTACAAAGCAATCAATCAATATAAATGCAGTGACAGAATTAAAATAGAGAAAGGTTAAGAAAGATATCACCGGTGTTTTATACTGGTTCACCCAATACCAGGGCTACGTCCAGTCTCCAGCCAAATCCCAGCTGGGTTCCACTAGATCAAATGTTTTACAGATTTACAATCTTACACTTAATCTACCACAAGAACCAAATTCCAGTTCCTGCACTCAACCTCTCACCAAGAACCAAATTTCAGTTCTTGATAACCTCTACAACCAAGTTCCAGTTGCAGAGAAACCAGTGCCCAAATTCCAGGCACCAACACCTAACCTTTCACCAAGAACCAAATTCCAGTTCTTGACAACCTCTACAACCAAATTCCAGCTGCAGAGAAACTAGTGCCCAAATTCCAGGCACCAAAGAATACAAAAAGAATGTAAAGAAATGAGAAAGAAGAAACTAGAATGCTCAAACCAGTTTATGCAATTCTGCTGTAAGTGTTTCTTCTTCAAGAAAAAATCAAGTTGCCTCAAGAAAGATTTTCAAAGAACTTCTTAAAAACTGATGCGAATCTTTCTTGAAAAGAGTGCTAAAGTTTGCTTGATTGATTGCTCAAGGATGTGTAAAACCGATGTTCAATGTATGTTTAAAAAGTTTAAGCCAAACTCGTTTTTATAGAAGATTTTCAAAACTCGCTGGTTTAATTAATCTGTTAAAAGATTCTTTTAATATGTTAAAAGTGCAGCTTTAAATATGTTAAAACTTCTTTTAATCCATTAATACGTTCTTGATTCTTTAACAGATTTGTTTTAACTGATACGACAACGTTTATATCAATTAAAACACTTTACAAAAAATCTTCTAAGTTGATTTAATCGATTGTTTCACGATTCAATCGATCGAAATACCGCAAAACTTTCTTGTAAAACTTTTCAAGTTATTTTAACTGATAAAAATAAGTTTTAATTGATTAAAACGCTGTGTAGAAATTTTCTAAGTTGTTTTAATCGATTGAAACGAGATTTAATCGATTGAAAAAGTTCTGATCGGTCATAACTCGATTCTGATCGATCATAACTGATTCTGATCAGTCATAATTCAATTCTGATTGATCATATCTGATTCTGATCGGTTATAATTGTATTCTGATCGATCATCCTGAACTCCAAGTGGTTTTGATCGATTAAAATCAAGTTGTATCGATTAAAATACTATAAAAACACTTCTCTGAACATTCTAAGTAATTTTAATCGTTTATTTCAAAACTGTATCAGTTAAAAACTTCTTTAAGAAAGCTTTTGTCAAAATACTTTGTTTTTAATTGTTAAAAACATTTTTAGAGGCATTTTGCAAAATCTTTTAAGTGAAGAAACCTCATGCAGCAGAAAAGATAAAATGATTATACCTAAGCATAGCTGAAGATACACTAAATCTACTATTCTTTTATCTTAGTGACTTTTGTCCACTGCAAAGTTTCTTTTTACTTCATCAATTCAATGAGATCTTTGCCAAAGTATTTCAATAAGATCTTCATCACTTTCAGGAAGGAGGTCTAAAGGTGTTAAGGGATTAAACCCATAAACGACCTCAAAATAAGAGTGGGAGGTAGTGAAATGAACCACCTAGTTATATGCAAACTCTACATGGCGAATTATGTTCTCCCACTCTCTAGGGTTCCTAGAAGTCATGCATCTTAATAGTTGAGACAAAGTTCTATTCACTACTTCTGTTTGACCATCTTTTTGGGGGTGACAAGTAGTCGAAAAAAGGAGTTTAGTTCCAAGTTTTCCCCATAATGTCTTCCAAAAGTGACTCAAGAACTTAGTATCTCTATCAGATACAATTGTCCTAGGTATCCCATGCAATTTAACAACTTCTCTAAAGAAGAGATTTGCAACTAGGCATGCATCGTCCGTCTTGTGGCAGGGAATAAAATGGGTCATTTTTGAAAATCGATCCACTACCACGAAGATGAAATCCATTCCTCGCTTTGTCCTTGGAAGCCCAAGTACAAAATCCATGGATATGTCTACCCAAGACGAAGTAGGAATGGGCAAAGGGGTGTAAAGTCCATGAGTTTGGGCCCTAGACTTTGCTTGGGACAAGTAAGATTCTAGGTTTGGGGGAGTTGTTAAGTGATAAAAAGTTGATATAATTATGTTTTGAATTGTTATGAAATAACTTAACTTATGTTAATTCTAATATATTTTTCTCCCAATGTAGGATGAATTTGAAAATACCTTGATACAAGAGTAAGGAGCATAATTGTCAACATAATTGGAGCAAAACTGAAAGGAGGAAGAAGATTTTTAGCATGGAAGTCGCTTGAGCGAGATAGACTCTCGTTTGAACGAATATCAGTTATTCTTCTCTGGAAGTCAATCGCTCAAGTGCCAGTAAATTCGCTTAAGTGAATGTTAGTTATTCTTCTTTAGAGCTCACTCGCTCAAGCGAGCAAATTGTCACTTGAGCGAAAATAGGGAACTTTCGCTTGAGCGAGTGTTGTCGCTTGAGCGAAAGACGCGAGACCCAAATTTTCCTATAAAAAGATAAGATGTGTTTTAAGAAAAAAAAAACAATTTTGGGGAGAAGAGGCGCGACTACTGCTAGGGTTTCGTCCAATCTTCATCAATCTTTCACTTCTTCCACATTTGGAGCATTGTAATGGCCAACATGAGTGACTAACTTTATTATCTTGAGATTCGGTGCACTTCCTTTGAACTCTTTTGTATCATGGTGATATTTTGAGATATTAATCTATGTTTTGATGTTGTTATTCCTATCTTCTGTGCTTTGGAATGATTTATTCTTGATGTTTGGGGTATGATTGAAAAATATATCTTGAACCCTAGATCACGGTAAGAATATTTGTTACGTTAATTTCGAGGAATGGAATGAATGTATCAATTGCTTAACACCCTAACCCTAATGCTGGAAAATCTCTTAATTGTGTGCGAAATCAAAATTTATTAGGTTTTCTTATGAATTTCATGTGTGAGAAATCAACATGGATGATTTGAGTAGGTGACATCAACATTGTTAGGTTAATTGATGTGCGTAATTGACATAGCCATTGCAAAATAGGGATAAGGAATAAGGAAGGAAGTCAATCCTAAGTGCCTTTAATTGATCTTTTCTCAATAATTTACAGTTCTTTTCCATTTATTTTCAATTCAACTCTTTATGCAAAACCCAATTTGTTTTAATCCACTTAGTAAGCATATAGATGGGAATTTCCATTGAAACTGTTTGTCGTGGGATCAAATTTTATTTAATTGAAATACTATACTGCGATTGATAATTTTGGTACGCTTGCCAATAACTCAATAAAGAACAGAAGGATTTTTAGGA